CAAAACCTGCCTTTAACAGGCCGAACGTATCTTTTCAGTAGCACAGTCGTGTGTGAATAGGACTCCGAAATGCCGATCAGAGACTGTTCTTAGAGGGTCATCTTGGGGTATACCATGATAAAGTGAGCCTTAGCTTCTGGGATGTGGGGAGCTGAGGCAAAGCGGGCTTGACTCGAACCTGGCAGTTTGCTTTGAGGCTAGCTAGAGAACACCAGCCCTTTGCTTTCTCAGAGATCAGGGATGAAAAGGAGCCCTGGCCGGGAGATGAAGCACAAATGAAAAAGCAGACTTCTCATATCAGCCAGGCTTGAGACAAAGCTGCAGAACTGAGCTTTCTGCCTGGGCTTGTCCTTTTTCTGGTTGTCCAGCTGGAGAAAAGATTCTACATGCTGTCGCTCGCTATATGTTTAGTTACCAATAACATTGCCATCAGTCCCCTGGGTCTAATGCCACTTAGGTGAGGATCCTGGATAAGTCTCGCTGGGGAGGCAGAATTCATCTCTGGTTGCTCTTTTGTTTGGAGGAGAGGACACCACTTCCATGGGCTTTTGGCTATTCCATGGTATGGCTCAGATATGGAATGGGGGGGCTGGGATAATGAGGACCTCAATTCCCCTCACCTGGGATCCCAAGATAGCATCTTACATTAAAATGCAGGAACAGGTTGTGTCCCAGGGAAGCATGAGAGGAAGGAAGCTAGAGGTCAGGGAGTTATGTTTTCCAAGGAACTTGTAGGGTTCCCCTCTTGACCTGGCCCAAGGCACTCACCTTGCTGACAGAGAGGCCAGACCTGGTAACGTGGCAGCAGTCATAGTTCTGCCAAGAGGACCTCCTGGAGGGGGCAGGGCAAGGCGCTGCACACCAGGGCCGGGGAGAGCCAGTGTTTATTTTATGCTTCTCTTTTTGGTATTATAACAATAAACTTTTATTAACCATTGCAGCCAGACTTGCTGGACTCCGAGGATTTAAGAAATGTGCTTATTTCTACCACTGGGGCTCAGCCTGGCAGAGAAGATTCTAGAACTATGCCTTTCAATATGGTAGCCACTGTGGCTATTGAGCAGTTACAATGTGGCTAGTCTGAATAGAGATCTGATAGAAGTATAACATATACATCAGCTTTTAAAGATTTGCTATCAAAGAGAATGTAAAATATTTCATTAATATTTAAAAAGTTTTATCACATGTTGAAATGACCATAATCTGGATATATGGGGTTAAAGAAAACATATTAAAATTAGCTTCACTTTTTTTTTTTTACTTTTTAAAATGTAGCTACTAGGAAGTTTAAAATTACATATGTGGCTTGCATTATATTTCTATTGGAAAGTACTGTTTTAGAAGTCTCAGGATGACCTTCAGCTATCTTGAGGTGGGTGAGTGGCCAAGATGTGAAAATACCATCAAAATAGATTTAACACACTAGCATCCCTTTGGGGGAGTCTCAGAAATAGGTGGGTCAAGAAACTCCATTGAAGATTGGCCTAGCTGTGGCTTGGGCCACATTAGTTGGGTATAAAAGAGGGGGAAATGACTTTAGAGGGCTGGACTTATGAGTTAAGTCTCAGAGTAAGAGAACTAGTAATTATCATTTTGCAATGACCCCTTAAAATGGCTGCACCAAAACATCAGTCCAGAAGCCCAAGATGGGGCTGAAGGGTATATCCCCAGGTATAATCCAAAGAGATTGGATGTGGCTTTTAGGCTGAGCAACCAATTAGGTAGCTCTACTTTAGGGCCTTAGGAGTTGGTTCATAAAGACCATGTTAGACCATGGTTATGTTGTATGGATTTTTATACCAGGTGCCTGGCATATGGTCAGGATACGAGTCAAATCACAAATACCTATGTATAACAATTCCATATTATAAGGACATATTACTCAGAACAGTGGACACTGTTGATGCCCATCCCCAGCTCCTGTGACTTTATTGCTAATAACTACATTGCTGTGATCCTCTTTAGATGATTACCCATCTATGGATTACTGGTGTCCCCATGCCCATTCAGAGAGCCAAAGTCTCCATAGTCAGTGACTGACTAGTGCAAGTGTACAAAACTCTACCTCCAGATGTGACAACTCTGATCTACCACATATGCTCCAGTGATGAGTCCAAGGCTGGACCTGAAATCACACTTTCGTCTGGCTTCTTCCCTTTGCTATCCACTCCCTTCCTGGTTCCTCCTAGAGGCACTTCTTTAATAAATCACTTGTTCCTAAATGCTCAACTCAGGGTCTGCTTCTGGGGAAGCCCACCAGAAAAACATAGTCAGACTTCATGGTGGTGGCCATGTAATACACATCTACTGAGTGTGTGTGGGATTCCAAACCCTTGAGACACCCTTGCTGAGAGCTCTGACCCTGTGCCCAGAAGAGCAGGGGCTGTGGGACCAACAGAGGGCCAGCGTGTGATCTTCATCACTCCAGGCTGTGTCCATGAAGCAGCAATGAACATCACACCAATAGACATGACTTCCTTTCTGACCGTTTATTTTACTGTTATTTAATCGGCTTCACACATCTTTCGATCTTTATCACGGTATCTTGTCCAGAAAGTTGAAACTGTGCTATCTTCATGACATCCCTGCCCTCTTACATGAAATATTTCAAAATAAAGATTGAAACAGGAACTTTTCTGAGTTTTGCAATACAGAAGTGTATTCTAGGCCTACATTTATAGGAAGTGGGGGGTAGGGAAGAGCAATAAGTCCAGGGGCAGGGGGAGAAGGGGTGTCCACATCTAGAGTAGTCACACTGGGTGGGCAAGCAAGATGGGAATGGGTGTCTCAGTCCTGGGGGCTCTAGAATTATCAGGGACTACTGACTTATCGATGGAGACAGCCTTAGAAAAATCTATAAACACACACTGTCTCCACATGGGAGGTGCTTACTTCCCCTTAAAATAGACTAGAAAAAAAATGAAAGAAAGCCCGAAAACCCACATTAACCAAACACACACACATGACAAACTCTAAGTCTCTAGATAAACACCCTCGAATAGGCACTTGGTGTCTCCAGCTCTAGGGTTAGAGAGAAGATCTGGGGCTTTGTCTCCAAAAGCACGGGCCACTGTTCCCACAGGGGGCATGACAGCTTCTAAAGGCTCTGGGGTCTGACTTGTTGGGTGGTCCTGGCCCAGCTAGACTGGAAGGAGGCCTGTTTAATGAACAGCCCCCCACTTCCCATTTCACTGAGACAGTGACCTTCAGGAAGCTCTGTGCCCTGTGCATTTTCTGAATATAGCAGCTGGCATTTATAAAGAGCACACTACTGCAGCGCTAATACTGGCCATTTAAATGTGGGTGTTGCATGTTGGAAATTGACCAGCTCCATGAGGCAGAGACCAGGTCCAGCTTGCTACTAACCACTGTATCCTCAGATCCTAGCACTGCGCCTGGCACTTAGGCACACAACAAATGTTTGTTGAATGACTAAATGAAATAATCCAAGAAGAAAATTGCATTTGCCCAAGAATATAAATTTATAACCTTTTCATTGGTTATAAACCGGTTCTTTTTAACTCTCAATGTAGAACTATAATTCACCTACTTTTTTGACATCAGCTGGCCCTAGTGGAACTTCTTTTAGTTGAAGCTGAGTCTTTTTAGTTGAAGCCAGGGAATTAATCTGGTTACGTCCAAATGAGAGGGTCTTCAGCATGCTCTAGTGAACTTCAATGGGACAATCAATTCATCTCTAAGGCCAGTAGTTGGCCCAGAACTGACTGTTCTGGCTGGAGGCCAGGCCAGCATCCTTATGGGTTGGATCTGATTTCGGGGGAGGAGGGTTAGGTCTTTAATTATATACTGGAGAAGGCCTAGCTGCCTGGAGAGCTGGCATCAGGAATAGGATGTTGAGACACCATGAGAAGAGGGAGGTCAGGGACTGGCCCTAGAATTGAGGACCAGGGAAGAGAAGATGGGTATGGCTGACCCCGGGGCATCTTTACACACTGAGAAGGCTGCTCTGATAAAATCCGTTTCCAGGGACGGTTTTAAGCTACATTATTGGACCCTCAGGGAGTGGGAAGGCTAGCCAATAGTGTCTACTCTGCAGAGAGAAAGCCAAGGGGATTTGAGAGAGGCCGGTAAGGAATGAATAATTGGGATGGCTACCTCGATCCCCCAAAGGAGGTGAATTTGAAATGATGATGGCCGTTCAAGATATGTTTGGGATCCCAGGGTCCCTTTGCACGTGATCTACCATGACCTTCAGGGCATGGCTACCAGGAGAACTGATGAGCCTAGAACCT